TATATATATATATATATATATAAACGTTTATACTTATTTACTTTAATTAATATAATAAAATAAAGATACGAGATTACACAAGTTTACTTTTTTCTTTTTTTTTTATGTATCTTACACCTGACTTTAATAACAAATTATAAGCTTTGAAGAAACATATATATGCCTTCAGCCCTTCACAAAACTTTGGCTTAATTGTATTTTTTTTTATTTAATATTATAATCATGTAATTTTGATTCATCATATTTTAATGAGTAAAATAAACCTTTTAAATATCACAATTAATTATGCAATTTTAGTGCATGTATAAAGGTGATATGATTGAATATGTTCATCAATTAATATTAATACAAAAGACAATAATTACAATTTAATGTTAATAAATATAATTTTAGATGCTATTTTCAACAAGAATGTTTTTAGGATATTTTTTTGTAAGAACATTTTAAGAAAATTTTATCAATTTCATAATTTTTTAATTTCTCTTTCATATTTTATTCTTAAATTAATTTTTTAAATTTCATCACAATATAAATTATTTATGGTAATTTAAATATAATTTATATATTTAAAAATATTTATTTACTATAAATTTTGGTTATAATATAATTTATATCAAAATACATTGTTATTATAAATTTTAATAAATAATTATTAGGTGCATTGACTAAACCAAAATATTAATGTGTGTATATATAACTAACTTTACATACATAATTAGGACCTAATGATATAGTTATATGATTTTTTTTTATGTAGTCATCGACGGATTCAAAAAATTTAATTTTCGGAGATAATTACATATATAAATTAGTAGGGGCTATATTCGTAATATAACATATTATTAACTATACTTTAAATTGTGGAAATTTTTATATATAAAGGAAAAATAAAAATTTTGCTGGCACAAGTGCCCCCAAACCCCTCAATGCAGATCCATCCCTAGTCAAATAATTAGTACCTCCATTCTTTTCTAGTTGTTATTTAAGATTTTTATACACAAACTAATAAATAGTACATTTTTTTTTCATAAAATAACTTTCAGATTTTCTATTATATTCATATTTACTTTTTTCTTCAATTAATACATATTAGTTATAAATGTGTAAATTAATTAAAAATTAAAAGAATTAAATATATAATTTATAAAAAAAAAGTAATTATTAATATATATTGTTTTAAAATTTAATGTAAGTAACGAATAACGAATAGAAAGTAGACAATTTAAAAAAAAATAGAAAGTAACGAATAACTTTTAATATTAATTATATATGTAGGGTAAATTTATTTTTTTGGATAAAGATAAGAAAGATTACAAAGATGGTCACAATGAAAATTAAACCTAAATTTTCATGCTTCTTACTACCCTAACCCCTCCCCACCTAACCACTAGACTAACCCTAGTGGTCATTAAGGTAAATTTATTTAAAACTAAAAAAAAAAAAGCAATACACTTATTTGTGTTTTAGAGAATTTTTTTTTAAATATAAATACTTTTTTTTAGGGGTAAATTTATTTAAAACTAAAAAAAGTATTTATATTTTAAAAAAAAATTCTCTAAATCACAGATAAGTGTATTGCTTTTTAAAAGAAACAGAAAATTACTTTTTTTAAAATGACCATTCTCTGACCACAGAGTGAGTTTAGTTGTGTTGGCCACTACTGTTTTCCATTTTTGTAGTTTGAGTTTCTTGATTTCTTCAATGGCCAATCGAAACACCCTCCCTCTCTACCAAAAAATTTGGATAAAACACACATTTTCAAGAATAGTGGATTCTTTCATCTTGCTCCTCCTTCTCACGCTTCTTGGTTACCGAGTCTTCTCCCATCACCACTATTCTTTCCCATGGTTTCTTGCATTCTTATGCGAGTCATGGTTCGCACTCACGTGGCTCACCACCATTACCACCAAATGGACTCCTGCAAAAACCATAACCTTCCTAGACCGTCTCTTCCTTAGGTATATATTCTTATATATATCTTTCTTCTTCTTCTTTTTGGTTGCTTTACTTTCTTAATGGCAATATAACTTAACGTACTACATTCTTTTTCTTTTTTACAAGAACGTTTATGAATAGGAAAACTATATTTTAACATGTTAAATGCTGCTAGACACCTAAAGATAGAGTTACAAAGGAGAAAATGTAGTAAAGATAACGATCGATGATAGTAACAAGATCAAGTCAAGTTTTCATGCATCTACTTTAACTTTTATTAATAAGTTGATAAGAGAAAAATATAGATATGATAAGTGGTATGATGGAGAGAAAAAAAACAAAAAAATATGGATGATGAGGTGTTTTGAAAAACTGGGACGTACAAAAATCATTGTTCTTATGGATATGCATTTTTTTGAACAGGATACGTGAGCTTCCACAAGTGGACGTGTTTGTGACAACTGCAGACCCTGTGCTTGAACCACCCATCATCACAATCAACACTGTGTTGTCTCTTTTGGCCCTTGATTACCCTGCTAACAAGCTAGCTTGCTATGTTTCTGATGATGGGTGTTCCCCTCTTACCTTCTATGCCCTTGTGGAAGCCACTAAATTTGCCAAACTTTGGGTGCCTTTCTGTAAGAAGTATAATGTACAAGTTAGAGCACCCTTTAGATACTTTTCTGAGGAAGCCAGGGCCAACAACAGTAACTTGCCACAATTTCAAAAGGAACGGTTAAAAATGAAGGTAATTTATTTATGGTATTAATTAGCCATTTTGTCTACCAAAAGAGGAAGGTTGGTTACAGACACACACCCTGAAATGATTGATATTATACCTTCTTTCCCTTTTTGTATTTTGTATTAATGGTTATGGATGTGAAGTTTGAACTAATTGATATGGATGTGAAAAAGAAAAGTGTTTATCTTTATCACCTACAAAGCTTAAAATGGCAGTTTTTGTTCTTATAATTTGCAGAAAGAGTATGGACAACTAAGCCGTAAAATTCAGATTGCTTCCCAAAATTTGAATCCGTTTCCACTCGTTGGAGAATATTCTGTCTTCTCAAAAACACAGCTGAGAGATCACCCAACCATAATTAAGGTACAATGCATCAAGCATTTATGTAAATATTTATATATCACATATTATTGGTGTTGGTAATTTGTTCACTAGCATTAATGTATTACATTTTTGAAGAGCCAATTTTTCTTATCTAATCTTTGAATCATCATACAGGAGTGCTAGGGTAAATATCTAATTTGTCTTTTCAAATATGGAGAATATATTAGAATAATAATGAGCGACTTTAGAGTACAATTACAAAATATATTCATCTTCGGTTAAAAGAAATGTTTTAAGCTATGTTGATAGGTAATATGTGAGAACAAAGAAGGTCATACAGATGGAGTACCCCACTTAATCTATATATCTCGAGAAAAAAGGCCACAAGAACCACATCATTACAAAGCTGGTGCCATGAACGTGTTGGTAAAGTTTATTTTCCTATTAAATCCATCAATATAATCCTCCCATCAATAACATTGTCAAAAGTCAAATGTCTGTTGATCACAGATTAATATATACCTGCATTCATTTGATCTAAAATTTCCCATCATTTGTACAGACTAGAGTTTCCGGGTTGATGACAAATGCTCCCTTTATTCTAAACGTGGATTGTGACATGTATGTGAACAATCCCAAGATTGCACAACACGCCTTGTGCATTTTGTTGGATTCAAAGGGAGAAAAAGAGGTTGCATTTGTTCAGTGTCCCCAACGATTCTATGATGCAGTAAAGGATGATGCTTATGGAAATCAGCTGGTCGCTTTGCCTATGGTGTGTCAAATCATACACCAAACAAATTTGCATTATGAGAAAGCTAGCAATAGGTTTATGAACTATGAGAAACAAGTGATAACAAATAAACAAATCTCATTTTTCATGATTTGTGTAATGCAGTACATAGGAGGTGGATTTGCAGGACTTCAAGGGATTATATACGCAGGAACAAATTGCTTTCACAGAAGAAAAGTTATTTATGGTCTTTCTCCCAATCATGACATTCAAAAGGCAAAGAAGGATTTTGGTTTCATGGATGGTACTAAGACTCGTTATGTTTTCGTGCTTTCGGAAATTCTCAAATCAACCTTTATATATTAAAATCTCTATTCAGTAAAAAAATATTTTTAAACTTTTCTTTAACAAGAATTTTTTTTTAAAAAATAATTTCTTATCTAATTGATTTTTATTTATCATAATTATTCATTAATTAAATTTTAATATTTTTAAAATAAATCATCAATAAATAAAATAGTATTATATTACAATATTAATTATTTATTTATTATAAATTTAAAAAATAATTTGTATGTTTAAAAATATTTATTTATACAAAAATTGAAAAAATAATTTATATATTCAAATAGAATATTTATTTATATATATATATAATTTATCATAAATTTTAATAATATAATAATAAATATGCATCTACTAAAATAATAGTGAATATAATCATTGATGCAGCATATTACAATTTAGTAGAATGAGGTATACAACTTCTAGCCTTACTACAGGAACATTGTCAGAAAAGAAAACAACACAAATATTTGGAGCTTCGAAAGGGTTTATTAAATCAGTTGATCATGCTTTAGAAGAGACGACATTTACTCCCAATGAAAACCTTTTCAAATCTCTTGATGTTGAGGCAGCAAGCAAAGTTGCTAGTTGTGATTATGAATGCAGCACAGCTTGGGGTAAACAGGTGAGAAATGGAAACAATATTCTATTTGTTAAGGCCACAAATTGCTATCATTGCTACGTGGTTAGCATTTTTTTAATCCATTATGTGGAAAGTGATTACTATGTTGACTATTGAGAATGTTAGGTGGGATGGTTATATGGATCAACATCAGAGGATGTTCTTACTGGGCTGGAAATGCATACAAAAGGTTGGAGATCTGAAGTTTGTTCACCAGATCCAATGGCCTTCATGGGCTGCTCTCCTCAAGATAACCTGGGCCAAATGGCCCAACACAAGAGATGGTCCTCAGGGCTGTTTGATATATTCCTTAGCAGTCACTGTCCAATTTTTGGCACTCTATTTGGAAAACTACAATTCAGAGAATGCTTGGCGTATATTTGGCTCACTAATTGGGCCTTACGATCTGTCCCTGAAATATGTTATGCCCTTCTCCCTGCCTACTGCATCTTTACCAATTCCAGCTTCTTGCCCAATAAGGTAAGTCCAGACCACATTACACAATAAAAAATATTTCCATTCAAACGTGTACATATTAGTATTTTTCACCTCAAATAATGAAAGCACTAAAGTTGTACCAAAAACATGTTGCAAAACCTTAGACTAACATCGATGGTCGTGCAGGAACCTGGCATGTGGATCCCTACAACTCTGTTTGTGGCCTACAACGTAGGTACTTTATCAGAGCACTTGATATCAGGGTTGTCAGCTAGAACATGGTGGAACAACCAAAGGATGGGAAGAATAACAACCATGACTTCATGCTTTTTTGGATTTTTGGATATCCTACTTAAGCGCTTGAGGATATCCGACACCGTATTTGAAATTACAAAGAAAGATCAACCATCTTTTGGTGATGAAAATGTGGGCAGATTCATTTTCAACGGGTCTCCGATTTTCGTACCTGGCACAACCATCTTGTTCATTCAACTCATGGCACTAGTTACCAGCTGGTGGGGGTGGCAGAATAAGAATGAGCGTGCATATGGGCTTGGTGAGGTGTTTTGCAGTGCGTATGTGGTTCTGTGCTACTTGCCATTCTTGAAAGGACTGTTTGCGAGAGGAAAGTATGGAATTCCCTTATGCACAATATTGAAGGCAGCACTGTTGGCATTCCTATTCGGTCACGTGTGTATTAGTATCGTTACCTATTGATCTGTCAACTGGTCCTGCTCAACGTGTTCTAATTACTCAGTTTCTTTGAATTATGTTCACATTGTAAAAGAACAAGCTATTGAATTCTGAAAGAACGTTGAATGACATCGAGATCAAGTTCTAGTGCTGGAAAGATGTCTTACAAAAGTCATCGATTGATCCCATTTTTGCAAGTCATATGTCAATTTAGAAAAAAAGTTGTATTATTTTTTTTAGCTGTATTATATTTATTGATATGAATTATTTACTTAGTTTATTAATGACTAACTAACTTTAAGTGAAATTAATCTTTCTAATAAATTTTGGTTAGCTACAAAATTTGAACTGGAGATACTAGTTAAAGAGATGGAATCTAATTTCACTCAAACCAAGTTAAGAATGTGGTTTATGGAAGAGTTGCATTTACACGCTCTTGTGATTAAATAGAAGGTGCAGAGGGAAAATAGATATTTAGGGTTGCTTGCTTCAGTTGGCCCTTTGAAGGGCAGTGATGGAACTGGCATCCCCTTTGATGGAATCATACCTGCGAAGCAAGTAAGCGACAATGAAAGCAGCGGTGAGCGTGACAACGTCCTTACCCGCACACTGTTTATTGGACACAGTAGGAGACCCAGTTTGAGGCCCATTGGACCAATACAAGTAGTTAAGCAATTGGGCCCCCTTCTCCCCGGTGAAGCGGTCCGGTTTGAAGGTCTCGGGTTGGTCGAAGATAACGGCGTCTCTCATGACGAGCTTCTGGAAGCCGCAGAGCAGCTCGCCCTTCTTGACGGCGAAGACGGAGTCGTGAGAAGTGAGGCGGAAGTCCTTTCGGGCACGACCGTACTGGAGCGGAACCGGAGGGTTCATGCGCAGCGTTTCGTAGACGACGGAGTGGACGAGGTCCATCTGTTTGAGGGAGTCGAAGGTGAGAGACGAGGCTGTCCTGGCTTCGGCTTTAAGGTTGTCCTGCAATGTGGGGTCGGAGGCTATGGCCTCGATCAGAGAGGGGAGGAAAACGGAGAAGCCGCCGAAGGAGTTGAACCCCAGCACGAAGAGCAAGTTGTGGATGGCCTCTTCTTGGGTCAACCCGAAACCCGTTTCGCCTCGGGTTATAGTTTCCTTGCCTGTTATGTTAGGGTGCATGGGTCATTAAATGCATTGGAATTAAGCAGCTATAAAAAGAATAGAATTTGTGAGCGACCATGTTGTTTGACGAAGTTGTAGATGTTGTTGTAGTCTCCGCTGACGAGGAAAAAAGGGTAGGCGAAGGAATGGAGGAAGATTTCTTCGAGGGGTTGGAGGATGCCGATGCTGATTGTGGGAAGGAGCTGAAGAGCGAGCCAACGATCAAGCATGGCATAGCCTGACTCTGCTATTTTGGGGTCAAGGGAAGGGTCTGCACCGGCCAGGACTTTGCAGAGGAAGCTGAAGAGAAATTGTTGTAGCGGGAAGATGTACGATACAGATGTGGATTTGGAGAGTGATGCTTCGATCTTCTCCCACATTGTGTCCAGGTTAGATACTAGTTCTGGTATCCATATGCCCGAGCTTCGTTTCAAGATATCCATGATGTAGTTCTTCACCTGCATTGCATTGCATCCACCATAGATCAAATTTTAATCTTGTTGCTAATAATCACTCATTCAGGGTTACAACATAGAAACATGTCACGGTTATCATTTGGGCTGTCATTGCAACAGATTAAATCAATTTTTTAGAGTAATTAATCAAACTACTCCTCACGTTGTGAATACTGTTGGGACATGGGAGTGTAATTTGATCAACAAAATTTACGTTCGGAGACTAATATGAAAACTAAATGCATATTTAGGGAATACAGGTGTAATTTTTATTATGCACTAACTAATAGAATAAAATAAATTTTCTCAAACAAAAAAAAAAACTAATAGAATAAATTAATAATTTGGTCCATGAAATATCGTTGCCTCTTAATATTCTTTGAACTATTAAAATTGTATAAATCTAAAGTATTTTTATCTTTATATGTATAGAAGACTTTTTTCACTTGTTTACTTGTTTCTTTTTACAAGAATTACTTCTAATTATTAATTACATTCATTATATCTTTTCTAAAATATCTTCATCTGATTAACAATTCTTTTAAATAGAAGATATTAAATATTTGAAATTAATTGGTTAAAACTTTCTTTTATTAGAATTGAAGAAGAAAAATAAACACAAATATATTTCTCTTTTAAATACTAATTAATTAGACAAAAAATGATTAAAAGTGAAAGGTAAAAGCTTAGTTTAAAAGATCTTAAGAGTAATTTTGAAAAAGTAGTTTAAATTATTGACAAAATTAATATTCTTAACTATATTAACAAATTTTCTTAAGGAGTACTTTAATTTTATTAAAATAATTTTGTAAAGTTATAATTTGTGATGGAGGTATGACCAATGTTGTTACATTACCCTTCGAAGTATTGGGTTTTGATTCGAAAAAGTTTATACTAATTAAAACAAGCTAGTATATGAAATTTTTGTTATTGAAACTTGGTTTGAATGAAAACTCGTTCTTTGCTAAAATAAAAAATAATATTTATATTTCTAACTTTTATCACTATTATATATGAATTCAATAGCTAATATTTCTGTTGTGGAGGCACCATGGCAGGATCCAAGTGCATAGTCACTAGTCAGCTGCAGTAGGTGTTTTTGTGTGTGTGTTTCTTCCCTACGAAAATAGTTTCTATTTCAGTATAAAATTTAGATCAATTCTAGCCAAAGCATAAAAATGAAACTGTCATTAGATTATCAATAACTTATATATTTATACAATTATTTTCTCTTTTATTTTTTATTTTTAAATATTTATCAATATTTCTAATTTTCCTATCATTCAAACTAATAACTTGTTAGTTACTAATTATTATATTAATTTATATTTAACTTAAATAAGTTTTTATTTTAATAAAATATTAATATTAACGTATAAAAAAAGAGGGAAAAAACTTATACGAACTAAAATTAAAAAAAAAAAAATAATAATAATAATAAAAGATCCCATCCTACTGTATATTTTAAAGAGAGGTTTATGGACACAAAAAGATAGCGCGAGTTTTAATTTTGATGCATTATATATAAACCAATTTACTTTATATTATTGAATTATGACTTAAATATGTTTTTAATCATTTAAATTTGAGATAAATCTATTTTTAGTCTTTCAAATTTAAAACTAATTTTTTTAGTTTTATAACTTCGAAAAATCTTATTTTAATTCTTATGCTTAAATTTCATATGCAAATTCATCAAATATTATCAAACAAAATTCAGTTATTAATATTTTTATTAGTAAAAATATCGCATTAAATTTAGTTAATATTATAGAAATGTCTCAATCTATCATAATGAGATATAATATTGGTGATCTTAGAAACTAAAATAAGATATTTTTAAAATTATAAGACAAAAATTCAATTTTAAATTTGAAAGACTATGAACATATTTAAATATTAAATCATTGTATTAAAAAATATCAATGTTGACTACCTTTTGAAAATCAAGCTTTTTTTTAACATTATGAGTTTTTGATGTTTTAATTTAATTATATGAATTATTTCTTTTAATTATTAGTGTTGTCGTTTAGAACTCTAAAATCAAGTCACTTTAAGGGTTAGGATGCCTTTGAGATAGTGACAGGCATAGTTATGTTCAACTCAAGAAAAGTACATTAGATTTTTCTTAACATGTAAATCTCGTTAGTTTATGTTTTCAAAAATCCCAAAGTGAAGCTAATAAGAAGTTCTCTAAAGCTCAAGTGATCTTTTCTACCTTTCTAAACCTTCTCGTCTCCCTTTCTTGTAACTAAATCCCTTGACTAGGAGGAAATTCAAAGCTTAAGGAGTTGAAGATCTCGCATTAGAACGATGCAAAAAGTTTCCTTTTCTTCCTCTTCTCTTCTCTTTGGAGCAACTAGAGATAAGAGACACTTTGTGGTTTGAATCACTTGATGTTAAATGCTTGTCGGTATGGTCTAAATTCATCAATTGCATGTTTGAATTGGTGAAGAAATGAATTGAATCTATTGTGAAAGAGTAACCTTGAATGATGTTATTGGGTTGATTGATTGAATCTAAATGTTGGGTTGATATGTAGTTGATTGTATAATGATGTGTATGTTATTAAGATGTAAGCCGATAGATTTTTAAGTTGTGAAGTTTTATTATGTTATAGTTGATTAAGATGTTAAGTTGTTGGACATGAGGTATTGATACATGTCTTTGTTAAGATACATAAAAATTACAAGAGAGTAAAAGATGTTTTAGAAATTAAAATATTTCATTGTATGGATATAAGTTGTGGTGTTCCAAAAGTCTAATTAAAACCCTTAAGTAAGCTAGTTTCTGAATAGATATATATTTTTAAAGTTGTCTCCTTTAAGTTTTATATGGTATCCGTAGGTGGACAAAGTCGAGACGTGTGTATAAAACGATTAATTGAGTAAAGTACAAGGTCGAAGACTTAGTCCCTTACTAAGTATTGGAAGACATAGTATTTGGAGAATAGTTGATAGGTTAATCCCATAAGTGACTTAATATTGCAAACTAATGTCGTGGTAAACTCATACTTAAACCATCTTACCCTGACAGAGTACTAGACTTTCTAGTTTAAGTGACAAGTACCTGATAAATCAAAATAAGTTATTAAATAGGTTCTCTAAGAGGTCTGAAGTTGTTTATACATGATCTGATTGTGATAAGTCAAACGTTGTGATTTGATAGGTCTAGCTATTTAAATTGTTCACCACTATTTGTAAGAGATCTCCGTATTTGATATGACAACACGTTAGTTGCTTATTGTTGTCTATGTTGATGATGTTGTAATGCCAAAGTTCTTAAAGATGTGTTGTGTTGTAAGTTGTATGTGGTAAATTGGATGATAAGCTAAGTTGTGTTGTTTAAATGACTATTGTTGTTTAAGTTGGTTATGTTAATACTTTATGTTTTTGTACATGTTGAATTCTTTCACAAACTTACCTTATGTTTTTCCTTATGGTTATACTTTGTATAAGAACAGAATAGGATAAATAGGATGACTTGCTTAGTTGGTGGAAGATCATGTTGGTGATGATCTGGTCTTGATATTATTACTCTATGTGTAGCATTTATTATATAGACGTTTGGCCGATAAATAAGGTTTATTTTATATATAATTATGTATTTGATATAGATTCTATATGCATACAGGATATGTGTATAACTCCATTGAGGGGATTTACATTTTAAGTTATTTTATATTTTCTATCTTATATATGTATAGATTATATGGTTGTTTATATAGTTGTTGCATGATAATCTTAGGTTAATCATATATTATTTAGTCTTTTCATTGCATTAAAGCTTAATTTAATGTAATTGATGTGTTGACATATTAAAAAACAATATAAAAAAAACAAAACACATTATGCTAAATTTAATTTAAACCATTAAAAAAAATCAAACTTCAACCTTTTTAAGAATTCATAGCTCATATCCTCACACAAACAAAATTTCCCACCTGCCCCTAGTAAGGTGAAAAATAGAAATTCAAATTGCAAAATTTTTCTAACCGACGGTGTGGGCGACACACGGGTCCCATCTTTAATTTCATCTTTTAAGAGGCATTGGACTAAACTTTTATACTTGATTTGTCTAAACATTAAAAAATGTATAATTATTCTTTACCAACTTTAAAAATGAACATGACAAATCTATCTGTATCTATTGAAATATATTAAATTAATACACATTGATTATGAACAAATATAATACAAGACAACATTCAAAATTATGCGGTGATAATTATTTTTTCTGTTCGAAAAAAAAGCTAAAATCTGAAACCGAGTGACTGACTTAGCTCTAAAGGTGTGAAGTTGAAAGAAAGAAAAAATAATAAATAAATAAATAAGAGAGAAATAAATATAAACAATAAAAGTAAAATAAAGTGTTTAATTTTAGAAAAAGTGTGAGGAACATGTAAATAATTTATATTTCCCCCTAAGCATCTGATTCTGAAATATGAAGTAAAGGGAAGGCAATTGAAATTTGAAACTGACAATGGTTGGTTGCACAGCACATAATAATAATGGATAAGGATTTGGGCAAAATGATAGGAAAGGTTGAATAAAAGGAATAAAGTGTGCAATGTGTACCTTGGCATGTTGAGGGTCGGTGGTGTCCTGGTAAACGCCGACCCTGAGGTTTCCGGTGAAGGCGAGGCTGGGGACGAAGTCTCCGACGAGGACGTCCTTCTTGTCGACGAGGTCCATGTCGAAGAGGTGGGAGAAGGATTTGCAATCCAGGAGGGCGATGACGTTAGGGTTAACGTTCAGGAAGAACGGGAAAGAGGGAGGAACGTTCGTGCGGAACACGCTGCTCTTGTGCTTCTCCATTCGCTTCCTGAAGAAGCTTTCCGGCTTCTGGAACCAGAAGTAGTCCAGACGGTCCGAAACCGGACCCACCAAGGGCAACCCGTAGCTCCCCGGAATCTGCCGGATCGGGAGCTCCGTCGGGGTTGCCGCCGTTGCCAGCGACGGCGGGGGAAATGACATCGTCCACGAGGAGAAGGGAAGGTGTGTGATGATGATGATGAAGAAGAGGATAAATGACGACACAGTGAGATATTATTCATATTATTATTATTGTGCAGCACTACAAAATTGTTGGATTTTTAATTTTTTTTATTTAAAGTATATCTTAAATTTAAAATTATTTTTTTATTTATGTAATTATATATATATATATATATATATATATATATATATATATATATATATAATAGG